AAGGTAGAACATGGGGACAAAGGCGACTTCCTGTTAAGGATGGAGAGCAACACCGATCATTCTCTTTTAGTCTATTATCAAATATGTCGAGTTGCATCATTCCTCTTGAGCTAATCTGATGTGTGTCTTGATGGCAAAGGCGACTTCCTTTCAAGTGTGGAGAGCAACACCCGTCATTCTCTTTTTGTCTATTCTCAAGTTTTTAGAGTTGCATCATTCCTTTTGACCCATAAAAATCAAAGTCTCATGAGGGTGTGCGATCGCGAGGTTCGGTAATGCCTGTCCAAGATCAAGAACGTAACAGAGTGACGAGGCGTGCATTAATTTATCGCAACTGAACAGAACTGCAGATCATAAACTTCCAATCGTTGTCGACTTCAACAGCAGAGTGAATCCGCCGGTGCAAAGGGAAGAGGGGAAAAACTATAATAATGTAAGAGTTCACGCCATAAATATTATTTGTCCAGGCAATTTCGCGCCCATCTGTCCTAAGTTGGTCAATTAGTACAACATTCTTCGGGAGATCAAATTACTGAAGAGTACATCGGCGAGCCACCACGAGTCATTGTATGAGCCATTCACGCTTTCGGAACGCCACTACGATTTCGAATGGATATCGAATGCAGCGACCCGTCACAAAAACGGTATTGATTAATGCCAATGATATTACGCGTTAACCTCGTCATTGAATAATCAAATTCCGGCACAAAATTATAGCGGCGGCATGTCCAAAAAACCGTGGCGAATTCAATTTTCGTGTGTAATTAGAAATGTGTGGCTGAGCTTCTAGCCTAGTTGACTCTTGGTACATAGAAAAGGCGGAATACATTTTGGAGCGACATTTGTAAGTGCTCAAAGATTCACATTCTGTACAGCAGTCACTTGTGATCTCATCATCGTTTTAATCATTGCACTACATACTCAGTGTCTGAAAATGATCAAATAAATCTCTAAGTCTGTGATATTAAGATATTAAGCACAGATCTTGAAAAGAAGAACTTTCAGAGAGCACAGACCATAACCGACTTTCAGATAAAAGTGAGATATTGCGCAGGGAAGATGACTATGTATTTATCTCTGAGACACATAGCAGCATGAACAGTGAAGATACAAGCCCATAAAAATTAAAGTCGCATGAGGGTGTGGGATCGCGGAGTTCGGTAATGCCGATCCAAGGTCATGAACGTAACAAAGTGGCGATGCGTGCATCAATCCACCACGATTGAACAGAACTGTAAATCATAAACTTCTATTCGATCTCGAGTTTAACATCAGAATCAATCCACCTGTGCAGGAGGGAGAGGGGAAAACTTTTGCAATGTTAGAGTTCGCGACATATACCCAATTCCTTGCAAATTAATAAATTTGTGCAGGCCTCCAGGATTTAATGGTTTTATGTAGACGGTTTTTAAGCATAGATCAGATGACCGTGACGTAGAAATTTGAATAACCTAAATCACAAACTGCCAACCGAAATAAATCCAAGTCGTGTCAATCCAAGTATGCGATTCCTCATTTTTAACTTCGTTTAGAAATTGGATCAAATTCGAATATGTAATGCTATCATTTGTTGGAAATACACAAAGTTGTACAAATCTGCAAGCCTTATCCATCACTCCACAGCGAAAGACGATTGGAGAGACTGACTTCTTTCACAAGCGAGAAGCGCTAACCGTTCTCCGTCCTTTACAGGCAAAACTCAAATTCGGAGGTCTCCGGAACATTTTTGTTACTCTGCTGTGGAAATGGATGAAAGTGGCATTGTCTTCCCGTGTATGCATATCTGTCCTCAGTTCTTTTTTAAATTCTCTAGTTTTCAGAAGATCAATAATTTTTTTCGTCGTCTCTAGAATAATTCTATGAAATTTACGATGCTACTCTACGTATTGAATTTGAGAGCCCTTCATCTCATTCTTTTAGTCACACACTTTTTTTTTATCAGTCCCTCTGTCCACAAGTTTATGATAAGATTCGTTGATATAGGCATTTTCTTGTATAGAGATACATTACTCCATGATGGATTTCCATGAAAATGGCCATGTGCTCTTATGACTGTGCATTTTTTTGCAAATGGGCAGTTGCAAATTTGCAGTTATTTGTTCACGGTTTGAGGATGAAATTCGATGAAGGATATCGGTTCACTATATATGAGCTTGGAAAGCCTTTCTTTTCTCTCTTTCTGGAGAGGTGGATTCGCTAGGAATCAGACTGTTCTTCGTCATTTCTAGATTGGGCATCGTTCGAAAATTTCGGGACATTGCCATTCCCCCACACAAGGGTCAAAGGACAGTGTCTCTGTAAGTGCGAGGCTTTTCATGATTGCACTATCTTGAAGCAATTTCGTTTTATGGTGAGTGGAAGTATAGCTTAGGTCTACTAGGTGCTAGTAGCTTGGAACGCTGGTTGATAGGGAAATACAGTAATTATCTATCGATATTTCATGAGGAATACCAATACACACCCGTACATGATTCGTCCTATGGAAACTTTTATAGTTTTACTTTTCGCTAGCTTCCACGATTTGGATTCATTTCAGTTGGCAGTTTGTGATTTAGATTATTCAAATTTCTACGTTATGGTCATCTATCCCCTCGCTTATGCACCGTCTACATTACGCCATTGTATCCTGAAGGCCTGCCTGAATTCTTTTATCTGCCAGGAATTGAATATATAGCGTGAACTCTCACATTGCAAAAGTTTCCCCTCTTCCTTCTGCACAGGTGGATTGATTCTGCTGTTAAACTCGAGATCGAATAGAATATATGATCTACAGTTCTGTCAGTCGTGCAGGATTGATGTACGCATCGCCACTCTGTTACAGTTCTTGACCTTGGACAGGCATTACCGAACTCCGCGATCCAACACCCTCATGCGACTTTAATTTTTATGGGCTTGTATCTTCACTGTTCATGCTGCTATGTGTCTCAGAGATGAATACATAGTCATCTTCCCTGCGCAATATCTCACTTTTCACTAGAAGTCGGTTATGGTCTGTGCGCTCTAAAAGTTCTTCTTTTCAAGATCTGTGCTTAACATCTTGATCATTTTCAGACACTGAGTATGTAGTGCATTGATTGAAACGATGATGATATCACAAGTGACCGCTGTACAGAATGTGAATCTCTGAGCATTTACAAATGTCGCTCCAAAATGTATTCCGCCTTTTCTATGTACCAAGAGTCAACTGTGCTAGAGGCTCAGCCACACCTTTCTAATTACACACGAAAATTGAATTCGCCACGGTTTTTTGGACATGCCGCCGCGATAATTATGTGCCGGAATTTGCCTATTCAATGACTAGTTTAACGCGCAATATCTTTGGCGTTACCCAATACAGTTTTTGTGATGGGTCGCTGCATTCGATATCCATTCGAAATCGCAGTGGCGTTCCGAAAGGGTGTATGGCTCATACAATGACTCGTGGTGGCTCGCCTATGTTCATTTCAGTTGCCCTTCCGAAGAATGTGGTACTAATTGACCAACTTAGGACAGATGGGCGCGAAATTGCCTGGACAAATAATATTTTCCGCCGACTCAATCCTCGTATCTTACGTATATGCTACTTGCTAATACGCATCATTCACCTGTTCGATCGACGCGTTGAGTGAAGGAATTCTTTCTTGTATGATTTACTCTTCGTATATTTCCGCAATATTCATCTTTTTCGGCGAAACGCGCGAAAAGCTATCTAAATTTTTTCACTCCCATACCACGTTCTAATGAACATCAACAATTCATTGCCAATCTGATCTTTTTCGGCTTTACACGTGCAGATACCGCATTTTCGAAGTTTTCAAAAAGTTCTAATTCTACGAGATCTAACCTGAAGACAATTTTCGGACACTCCTGACTCAAATCTAAGGAAGGGTCAACAGCTAGCACTCCCTTGAATCCTTTGAAGCGAACCTGCAGCAGAGGTGTTTGATCCTGTAAAAGAGTCAATTGAGTAAAGATTCCGGGAGACCTGGTAACAGCTAGGAACAACGTCAAGTTGTAGGGCTAGCGCAATCCTTCTAGCAAGTGAAGATGCTACTCGACCACATCCATCCGAAAAACAATAAGGTTCGCGAGTTTCTGGGTGCCCTGAACCTCCTTCCACGTCATCTTCGACACAGCACACTTCTTGCAGAATTTGCACAGTTGGCTGAAAAAAGATCACTAAGACGATCATTAAGACGAAGACGAAAAAAGTGTCTCGTGAATTTCTTGAAATGACCTGTGCCTGCGTGAAGCACTGCCCCATCCTACTCATCAATTTTGGGACATTTTTGCTACTGCTGAAGTCTCCCATCCATTCTCTCATTTCCTCGACAGTCATTGATACATGTCCAGTGTGACCACTGATTGTTGAAGCGTACATATAACAACCGTGATCACGCATCTGCAGACACGTCGTGCGACATTACAGGGATTTTACAGAGAACTAATACTTCCACATCATCATCGATTTGCTCGCATTTCTATGTACGCTCGAATTCTTCTTAAACACGTCTAAGTTCTCTTGCCTTTTCATGAAGTCAAATTTTACTATGCTAAATCGCTTGATATAGGTTTACGAAGCCCCCAATGAATGCATCTAAAACATAAAAAAATTACCACCATACTATATTATACTTTATTATTTATTGCACGAGCACTAGTGAATGCATCTCCAACATAAAAAAAGTTACATTTGTACTATACTATACTATTTATTACACGAACACTAGTAGTGTGAACCTAACACAAAAAACGAAACAGAAAAAACAAAAGTATCATCACGACCTTGCAATTGCTGTGTAACATTATAAAGCAGCACAACACGAGGAACAAACCCATAGTTGGATTGAGATGAAGGAATGCTCGGGAATGCCAACAATGAGTGCAGAGTGGGGAACAAGGGCTCACAGGAAATATCCGAACGAGTGCTTGAAGTTTCCTTTTAGCCAACATGAGACGAAGTAAATATGGGCTTTCTTGCGTTACACAACTAAGAGGATATGTTGCAAAATTAGGATTCATACAATTTGTCGATTCGTAACCATAAATAAATTTCTTCAACTCGAAGTCATTGTTCAAAATACAACCCTAAACGCTCTGTCAAGAGATATAGAAAGCAACTTCAAAATAATTGTGTCAAGCAAATGATGTGCTAGGTTCTAGATGTAATGGTAACGTGTCAATGTGTCAGACTATGATTACGTTTTCTTTCATAATTGAGCCTCCTTCGACTATATTGTGAATGTAATGGGAACTACTTGTGTTGAAATACATCATATATATTATATGTACAACATCTTACACCAGAATACAACCGGCTTGTCGAACAACTCCACGATAGTGCTGGGAAAGCAGAGAGTCTACAAGTAGCCAGGAGACGAGTCTCTCCAAAGATTTTCGAGCTAATACGCCAGCGTGGAGTCGCGCAAGTGCAGGCAATCATCAACAAACATTCGAGCTTGCGAAGCTGCAGAAAGTTATAAAGTAAGTTCCGAAAAAAAAAAGAGCAGCAGTTATAAACGAAGCCGTCTAGGCCGAAAAGAGCATTTGCAAAGCCCGATGGAGCTTCGCCAATTACAAGACCAAGATGACTTCTCTTCGCCGTCCTGACGGAAAAGTTACGGCATCTCGAAGGGCAGGAAAAGAAGGTCATCTACGACTTCCAATCGGATCTTTTCTACGGCCACACCTACCTGCCGATATACCTTCTTAGGCAAGACGAATATACTGCTCCATCAGTTCTCCCTTCTGAAATTCAACATGATGACATCCCGTCGATGAAGAATTGTACGGCGTCCGGTCCCAACAAGATCAACCCAAAACATCTGAAGAGTCTTCCATCAGTCTTGTCAAGACCCTAGCTCGGCTCCTCACGCGTTATCTGTGGGAATGCAAAAGGCCCGCTATGTGGAAAACTAACAAGGCTGTGTTTCTGTATTACAAGGCAGGTCTAAACAATTTTGACAATTATCGCCCAATTTGCCTTCTTCTGTAATCTGCAAACTTTTCACGCGCGTCGTCTTCAACAGAATTGGCAGAATTTTGGATTAAGGGCAGCCATGCGAGCAAGCAGAGTTTCAGACAGGGTTCATCACAGTCGTGCATATCCACACTCTTACAAGACTCACTGAAGTATCGTGAGAATTAAATGCCGTTATGTCTTGCGTTCATCGAAATGAAGAAAGCCTTCGACACCTTTGATAAAAGAAAATAGAAAAAAAGGAAATAGAAGCGGTAGTTAGAGCCTGAAACAATCAGGGTGTCCCCACTCAATATACATATATATGTATATATATATAAACCAGGGTTTCCTACTCAATATAATGTAATGCATCGTGAGCTCTACTACAACTTCACGAATAAGATCTCGCTATCCTATAAAGAAGTCACCATCAACGTGAAGAGAAGGGTTTGGCAGAGCGATACCATCCTGCCCAAACTTGCTAATGCCGCTCTCAAGAATATCATGCGTCATTTGGAATGGGAAGATTTGGGAGTGAAGCTCGACTGCTGCTAATTACGTCATCTCTACTTTGCAGACGACATCGTGCTTATAATAATCAACGTCAAGCAGACAGAACACGGTTTGCTGGCCGAATTGCATTGCGGAAAGATTAGCTCAGATTGAACTCAACGAAGGACACCGCTCGGAAATTTCCTATACGGTTAAATGTAGAAGGGAGTCCGGAGTTTCGAGCTCCGTCATCAAATGAAGATCAGGGATGCCGCTTTTACACCACGAACTCAAAGATCAAGTGGGTCGAGTACTTCATGCGATATAGTGACGACTTTTAGACCAAGGCGGTTACTGAGTGGGTGGAGAAAATTTGTGATCAACGTGACGACAGGTGATACAGGTGATACCCTTGCTCCAGCAAGGGTCTGCAAAAATTGCACCCCGGGTCTTATAAAGGCTGCACGCAACTCGAGTTCCACCAACGACCACCCATTTCTTGATGTATATCCACAACTCACCGTGCCCCACGATAGTATTCTTCGGAAAAGCTCCCGGCTGAATTTGACTTTCCGTTGCATGACTTCGATATGAATTCAATATGAGCGTTTTTGGATGAATATTCCTCACCTTCCTGGAAGAATTGTTAGTTTTGAGGTAATTTGGGCTATGTACAATACAATGCCTATCAGAACCCGTCTCTAAATGCTATGATAAAAATGGAAGAGAGTGTGTCGGAAAAGCAATTATCTCTCAAATTTAAAAGCGTAGATGTTTCCCGGAAATTATTGGTGGATGACTGAGACCCTACATGAGAAATAACGTAAATAATGCTCGCGCCAATGTCATGAAGAGACACTCCTTCATACCCGTTGTGTATCGTGACAAATAACAACGGCAAATTATTAGGAGCAGTGTTCGATAGTCTGAGGGCAATGGTCTGCGTGATCACTTCTTCAAACTATGCATCCAAAAAGGGGATGAATGAGGGGAAACAACGCCGGCTCGCCGGCTTTATTTTATTGCAGTAAAGCGCCACTCTTCACTTCTAGCGAAACTCAAGAAGAATTCTATCTTGCCAGCACGATTTTTCCCTATGACTATAGAAGACTAGGAACCCTGAACTCAAAGAAAATCCCTTCAACCGTATGGAACAAAATGGAAACAAAACTTAAGGGCATGATCTCTGGCTCTCGAAGGGTTCCCTTCTATGCTTGTTTTTTTGCTTTTACCTGATTCATTTACAAATTTTTGTTAGCTTCTATTAAAGTTCTGCTTCTCTGGTAAACGAAGTAGCCTGTTTCTGGTAAGCCACTGTTCTGTAGTAGTTCTATCAGCGATCTGCTTAGGAGGGAGATACACTTGATGTTTGATATAATGTCTGCGACTTTCGCCTCAGACGCAATGAAGCCCACCCACTCATTAACCGAATAGTTGCTGTTGATGAAACTCGGAATGTTTACGATTATTTTACTCACAAAAGATTTACAAACGACTATGATAAATGCAAGATAAACCTGCTCAAACGAGGTCCAAGGCTGACCATCATCAAAAAGAAAAAGGTCACGACACTAATTTGGTGATTATAGAGGGGAGATTGTATGACCAGTGATTAGGGTGGTCACTGGATTACGAACTTTGTTGACCCCTCTTCTGCTATAGAGCACGGCTATTCTAAAAGTTTATCTGAAAAAAACGGCAACACAAAAACTAACAAACGATCAAATTTCGGCACGGTGTTGAGTTGTGTGGGTGGCGGCTCTGGAGTCGTGGAGGCGGCGGCTTTGGAGTCGTAGAGGTGGCGGCTTCTGGAGTTGTGGAGGTGTCGGCTGACTGCGGAGGTGGCGAAGAAGGCTGGCTGCTGCTCGGTGGAGGAGTCCCGCGGCTACTCGGCGGATGAGTCTTTGACGAGTGTGTGGAGGCTATTTTCCCCCCACCTCATATAGCGGGTGGGTCATGCCTCAGGCGGGTAGGCCATAGACCTCATTTAGTTACCGTACCCACCTGGAGCTGCCTCCCGCCTGCGAGTAGGTCATCATGACCCACCGCGCTTGGGGGGTGGCCCGCCCCTGAACGGTGTCTTTCTCTTGACCGCCCTATTCCACAAGATACAATTCAGAGGGCTTCCAAGTTCCAGCTGAGTTGGACCTCTACGCATTAGAATCTTGATGAGCATCGAAAAAGCCTCCGGAATTAGCGAGTCGCAGAGGAGTAATAATAAGCTATGGTGAGGTCAGATCAGGTTGGCATAAATATTTGGAAACTTGGCAAAATCCTCAAATAATAGTTGGGAAGTGACGCAATATCCACCATATCCGCCCTTATCTTGCGCCATCCTGATACCAATTATTTCGGTGGTTGCAAAAGTCCTTCAATGACTTTGCTCTGGAGTCGTGGAGGTGGCGGCTTTGGAGTCGTAGAGGTGGCGGCTTTGGAGTCAGAGCATTTGCTGAAGACGAAGGTATCAGATCAATCGTGATCCAGTTCTTTATCCGCCAAAAAACCGGAAGTACCGCGAGGACACCACCACATGACATCACCACAAGGAAGGCAAAGGACAACCGAACGGAATTGGATATATATATA